CAAGACTGTTATCTTATTACTGAGGAGAGAGCACGAGACGCACACAGAAAGTAGAATGACCAGGTTATTCCCCTGCCTGGCAGCCTTGGGAACCAGAAAGACTTTAGGGCACTGCCCATATTTTTGATCTAACTTGGGTCCCTTCTTAAACTCCCAGACAGAGGCTCCCTGTCCACACCCCTCTCCTTCCCCCACATGCCAAACTGGTTTCCATAGGAAAGCCATTATAGGGTTGCAGTGCGCTAGGCTTTCAAAAGCCCAAGGGTGTCCTGTGAGACACCCCATCTGCCTCACTCAAGTTGAATAAGAAGCCAGATCCAGCCACTGAGATGACAGGATACAATTTGTTTGGTTCTATTTTTTCTAGGGTGTGATGACTGCTTGTAGAAGTTGCTTGAGTGAGTGGAGGTAACTTCTTCGATTACCTGTATGCGTGATGGATTGTTCTTCTCTGTATGTGGGGGCTGATTTAAGTAGGCCCTACTTAACTTGAAAAGCAAAGAGAACGATCAATTTCAAGTTAAATGGGGTCTTTCTTTAATAGGTCACCACATACAGAGACTTTGCAAAAGGGCTTTTTATGTATTTAAATGTGTGCGTCGCCTATAATACTACTTGTGTGTGAATCCCTGATTTGGCTTCTCTTTAGCCATGTTTTTGGTTCAGGTAGGTCTACTTGTTATCCAGGTTGTCATCATGAGAATACCCATCTCACTTGCCATTCCTTTGGTTGCTAATATTCTTCGGGGCCATCACCCAAGCAACAGGAAATAGGGGCCCTCTCAGAAAACAAGACACCAAGTCATGGAAAAGCACTTTGGGTAAGTACAGGAGAGGACCTGAAAACAGAATCCTCCACGGTCCAAAGGGCTTAAAAGTGATACTGAAACATGTGACATCAACTCTTGCACAACCAAGATACCATGGGCATCTTAAGGAAAAGAATAGTATTTCCCAACCACAGAGCAACAGACAGGCAAGCCAAACCTTTTTGTTCCTTCAGAGACAATGATTGTAATTCTGCTCCTCTCTTTCCCTCTCCATCCCTCGGGATCCTGGCAGAAAAGCTAGTTTGCCAGTCTGCAGTATTATAACATGGGTTTGGAAACACTGATCCAAAGCACTTTCAAAGAAACATATTTTAAAGCAACTACTTCTGTTTATAATCTTACTGGGCATTAGCAAGGCCTTTTCTTGTAAAACCTTGATTAACAAGAATACACCGAACCAGTGGCCTGAATTGTCGGTCCCCATTCCAAACTTCACATTGATGAGAAACATTAATGATACCCAAAATGAGAAGACCTCAAGGAATTGAGTTTTTAAGTAGTTGCCAAGTGATAACTGCGGCTAGATCATATTCAGTTCTTTCTTCTGTAACTTCTCTCCATCTGGATTGACCATCAAATGTTACAGGCTACTTTGCTGAGGCACGAAAGTGGATGCAAGCATTTTAAAGCAGCATGTCAATAGCCAAGAATGAAACAAAGTGAGTATTCTTACTAACAATCCCATCCATCCCTATGGATTCCAATTAATCAAGGTTTTACTATGTGCCAAAAAGCAGTGACTTCCTTTCTCGCCAATGTAAACTGATGACACTGACAATTTAGGCAATCATTTGCTTCATTTGATTCTTACAATGGCTACCCTGATGCCCAAAGTATTTAGCACCTTCCTCCCAGCAATTTTCTCATGTTATTAGCAAGCCATCGAAAACCTGATTCTATTATTCAAGTGAGTTACAGAATGAAAATGGAGCTGGACTGGATATGTTTTTCTCATGAACTCATCATTCAAAGGATCCATGGACTGAATCAAAATGACTCTAAATAATCCACACAGTACAAGTGCCCAGAAGTTTTACAATAACTAGGTGTTTGATGTTTTACACACACACACACACACACACACACACACACACCAAAACAAAACCTGCACTATTTGACTGATTTAATTTTCATGAAATGTTTTGGTATAATGAAGCCCCCAAAATGTTAAACCAGCTTTTTGGTAAACGTGACAAGCAATCAAACTCTTTGTTCCCTTTCTTAATATTGCCTCCAAGTTTGAGCTAGTGACTTTACCGCTAACTTACAATTCCCAGATTCTCTGAAATTTGGGGTGCAAAAAGAAAATACTTTCAGTAGATAATAATTGTTTCAAACCTTTTTGGCCATAGTGCTACCTGCCAGGCAACCATCAAATAACTTTTCTTGGTCTTCCCTTCAATTTACCTTTTGAAACAAGTCAACCCTGTTGTCAACTATGGCTAATAGTGTGATCAGTGCTGCATATCAACAACTGCTTGTTCCACCTATCAATTCCCAAGGAGCCTGCCTTTATCTTCCTTCTTGCTAGCTGCTGTTTTCTGAGTCTGAGCACAAGAAGGAGCAAGAAACCAATGTAACTGACTGTTTCAGCACCACTTTGTGACATCCAACCCAAGTCCATGGAGAAGGTAGAAATGCACTGAGACCTCACTAACTTGGAGTGCTTTTATTAGTAATATGGAATAAACTAGACAAGAACTAGTCTACACTTGAAATTTATATTTTTACGGATGTAGACAAGAGAGGCTTGTTAAGCAAATGAAGAATTTAGACTATACTGTCAGTTGAATTTTTCCTTGAGAGAACAAACCTATTTTTTTCCAATGCTGGGAGCACTTGTCAGATATAATCAGACTCATTAGAAATCTATCTACTATGATAGATAAAGCAATGGTTTATAGCCGGTCTGAATTGCAAAGTGGAACCAACGTAAGAAAATGCCATGCTTCAGACTTTTTTTTGTAATTCAGGATTTGCTTCACTCATTCAGACAATTCTTCCCTTGTGCTAGTTCATATCAAGGAAGTTTTACCCTATTAGTCAAATGGCTGAGAATTACACTTCTCTATTGACTCTTGTCCCCAGCTAACACAACAAATGACCACTGAATGTAACATCATTTCTCAGGAAAGTGAGACCCAGAGATGGTGTTGATTTTGAGAAGGTCACATAGACAATGCCATCACATATCTCTTCTGACTTTCAGGCCCACACCTTCTGATTATTTTGCAGAGAGCAAGTTATTGAAGCCACCCACCCAATGAACAATGCAAATCTGATTGCATGTGTTAAGTTTCTATAAGAATCAGGTTCATTCTCAGTCACCTTGGTTACTAGGCAAATGGCATATTTAAGCCATTCTAGCCCTCAGTACTGATTACTAAAAATGACAATAATCACAAAGCCTGACATTTATAAGCACTTCTACTATTTCAAAAACACTTTTACACCTATTATCTCTGAAACCAGGAAAGGGGGAAAATACCTGTATTACTTATCTCTCTGTCTTGCTTCTACAACCTTTAAATTATGATAAATGGGCAATTATGTAAAATTGTTGACTTTTCTCTCTCTAACATGAGACATCATACATTCTGAGCATAGTCTATAAAAGTTACTATGCTATGGAGGGAACAGAAACTTTTCATGCTGTTGAAAATGAGTATGCTCTTAAACTAATGTGATAGATACTCTTCTCCTTTCTGAATACAAGGAATTAAGAAAAGTTGGAGCAGCCCTGAACCAGGTCTATAGGCTAGAACCAAAGCCCTGCTTGTCTTTCCCAGTGTCTCAACACTGGCCTAGTAAATCCTGGCCAAATTATACCTGATCAGTCCTTGATCATCTATAAATGCACAGGGAAATAACATGGAAATAAAGACTGTAGTTTGGAGATTTTCAACCTACAAATCACCCTATCGAGCTATTGGTTAATTGTAGCCCATCTGAAAATGCAGTAATTAAGAGGCTGTAGGTTGTTTCAGCCATAAACCCAGATTATCAGGGGGTTGCAAGATAGCCAGTGAAAGTGTGTCATTGTAAAACACAACAGATAATGATTTTGCTGAGTCCTCATATAAGGGCATCAACCTTCTTCCACAGCTATCAATCATGCCACATTTTTACATTCTTTTCGTGACTCCACCCACCTGACTTCATGATGCCAGCTCAGCTTTCCTATATACCTTTACCTTAGCAGAGCAAGCAATGTCAGTAAAGCAAGCTGTTTGCCCCTGAAGTGATAAGATATTACAACTGCATCCCATCTCAGTATAGATTTCTATCAATGGATTTAAATAGACTTTTAGTATCTGTACTGTTGACAGTGAAAAACAGCACATAGTGTATGCCTTTGAGAACAGTGAATCCAAAAGTTTAAATGGGGTCTGAACTCCTTGACTGCAGTAAGAATTGTACCAAACGTAGGTACCTTCACTTGTAAGACATACAGGGAAATGAAAGACAAAAAGCCATGCAGGGAAGCCACCATTATTTAAATAATAATGGGATGATCATTATGGTGTGAATATCAATTAAAAAGCAGTTGAAATTGAAATATATAACAACTAGAAGAAATTGACAAATTTGTGTCACACACATTGAAAAAAAATCATGGAATTTATTTTAATAGATTCAAAGGCTCCCTGAAATTAAAATTAATTGTATCTACTTTCATCTGTGCTTTTAAAGTACATTTAAAGTTTGTTCTCCTAAGAAATTCAACAGTTTGCTTCCTCTTCCCTATATCTAGCAATCTTTAAAAAAAAATCTTATGCATTTGCTTAGCAAGTCTTCAATTCAGAGACAGTAAAAATGGCATTTAGCCTGTTTCGAAATTCCCTGAGATCCATAGTTGGTGATACCTAGATGAATGAGCCTGTAACTGTTTTTCCCGAACGTATAAATGAGATCGTCAGTTCTGTATGTATTTCTTCTCCTGTGTATGTCTACAATTTTCCTCTCCTATGCCACCATCTCTTAATCACTTCTCTTCCACACCCAGAATTCTTTGACAATCTTGGGCCTTAGGGAATGGATATGAATCTGCATCTGCCTTTATCTGCAACAAAATGGATCTTTTTACTGGCAGGAGCCATTCCTACAGATGTACACATTTTGGATA